TAAAATAATTTACAAGACGATATTAGAATTAGCCAACACAAGCATGCGCAATACAAACTTGTTGACAACTGACAATAACGACAATAACAATTCAAATTGACGTTAACTCGATAAAAATCCAGTGATAAGGAATTAACAAAGACTTTCCATTATTGTTGAAAAAATGCTGATATTTAAAACAAGTAATTGCACTAATAATTGATTATATTAGAAAATAATTGATAGACATTGTAAGTCAAATTCTATACGATTATTTCTTTTTAAGCAGTCTTCCGGTATAAAATTTAACTAAAATTTATAAAATTAAAATGATATAATGAAATTTAAGTTATAATTGTTTGAGAGAAAAATAATATTTAACATCATTTTACTAATACTTAATTTGCTGAAATTAAAGGCAATAAAAACAGAAATCAAGTCTGGCTTTAAAAACCCTTTCACTGGTATTGAGGCTTTCCACTTAAGTCTTATTTATTCTGTGCTTTAGTACTTAGAAGTATCAACGCACCGACATTTTGATTTATAATCAATGATAGATAGGTGTTTATGGGTCACATGATTCTCGCGTGCTTGTCACCCTTTTTGTAACTTGCAAAAAAAGTAATTTAATTATTTATAAATTAAAAACCCCTAAAATTCTTAAAATCCAACGTATTCAAATATAATTTAAAAAGTTATTTCTTATGTACCAAAAAAATGTAAGGACTTGGACATTACTATTAGAATAAGAAGAAGGAGTTTCAAAAACGTTTTCTAGGGGAAATGGACCGTGATGCTGGACTAATATTACCAGAGAAGCTGCAGAGATGCTATGCTAGAATGTCTTGACAGATTTTACGAAGAACTAGACCATCGTTACAGGGCAATGGATATTCCCGTAACCTACTGTGTTAGCTCAGCCCACTAGTGACTAGAAGATCTTCCTGTAACAGCTCTAAATCTGACATACATCTACGATGAATTTTCTGCAGAAGACATAATTTTAGAGATTTTACGACTGAGAAACCACTTGGAAGTCGCCAAGAGGCGGTTATTGAATAGCTTCTTGGGAAGAAACGCTGGCGGCTCATTTTGTGTTGGACGTTCTCAAATTCATCGTAAAATGGGGCTATTCTAATTTTGTTCCGAATCTAGCGCTTTGTCTAAGATTTTTTTAAACTTTTTGTGTTTCGGTAGCTCCATGTGAAAGAAGTTTTTTAAAACTGAAGTTATTAATCCAGCACGATTAACCAATCTTTCCATTTTATCCATCGAAAAGGACAAGAAAGTAAATTTTGGTAATGTCATAGAATATTTTAGCAAAAAGAAATCCCGTAAGCACGTTTAGCGTTTATTGTTTTATTTTGGGTGGTGCTGGTGCTTGATAGAAAACCGCTCTGGGTGCCAACCCACGCTACACCGCCACTGCGCGGGGTGATTTGAGGTAGTGAATTCTCTTACGTAGCTATTATAAAGCGTAGTTAACACAGTAGCTTTTTCTAATACTTTGTAACCTGCCCCGTACCCCTTGTTACCAGGTCAGGTATGAGTGACGTTGAGAAAATGCATTGGCAGATACAACTAACACGTGTTGTTTCGTAAGTATATTGTAGATATCTGTAACAAGTCTTTCAGAAACTTAGGTTTTATCCTTAGGAATTGCAGGGATTTTCATAGGAAAGGCGATTAAGTATTACACAAATATACAATGCATTTGTTCGGAGCTGGCTAGAAATAATATTTTATTAGAATTTTCATGAAAATAATTAACAAAAAAAGTAAACGTTAAAGTTAAAGTCTATGTACGTCCCACAGCTGGGCACAGGCCTCCTCTCATTACTGAAAGGGTTTCAAAACACAAAATAAATTCACGCGATTTCTTTATTTGAGGGAGAACGATGTCCATGCTTTCTACCCGCTGATGTGCTCGACCCTTGTCCGTGGTCGGTATGGGTATTTCAAATATAAAAGTGGAGAAATAAGAGATAAAGTTGTTAATTTAACTATTTAGCGGGCATTCTAGTTGTTTGATCTGGTGTTTTTCTGGTGGGCTTATTACTAAAAAGGGTCATAATTTAAACTTTTAATACAGGTAAAAGTCGACATCAAAGAACTAGAAAAGAATTTAAAAAAAACAACGTAATTAATAGCTTCTGAAGTGGGGCTTCAATTCTTTGATACACTATGTTCTCATCATCATCGAGTTCAGGAGCTATTATGTGAAAATTATTTTATTCTTAGAAGTCGGCTTTTACATCTTATAACAAGTTTAATTTTACAAGACCTGAATCGAATGTACGAAGTCACGTACAGAAAGCCATAGAATGTATACTCATTAAATATATTATAACTCTGTTTCAGTAAACGAACGAGAGCTACTTGATATCAACTATCTGTTGACCTCATAAAGTGAGACAGATTCGAGTGTGATTGTAGAGCACTTCTAAGTAATCACGACACGTGTAATACTGGTAAATTTTCTCTCTCATCAACGCAACACTAATGCGATTGTGCAATATTTTACTCAAATAAAATATATAAACTACATAGTATTACATGTAGTAGCGTCGTAGGAACACATTACTATAATTCGTACTAAAGTATAATATACGTGGTAGAGCCATGGTGCAGTTATATTAGTGGTATAGTTGTAGCACGAATGGGTCGGCTCGACCGGGGAAGGACCACACTCTCACAGAATACCAACGTAAAATAGTAGCATAATGCCGCTGTGTTTCGTATGGTGAGTGTAGGGAACCAGAGACCCTTTTAACTGGAAACGAGGCATTCCATCTTAGTCCTCACGGGTGTCAACGCATCTGCATTTCGATTCGTAATCGAGGATAGATGAAGATGTCTATGGGCCACAGCAACCACTATCCTATCAGGTACCATCAGGTGGACTTGTGTGCTCTTTTGTGACCCTTATTCTATTAAAATAATTATAACTTTTAACAATAAGTAAAAACCGACTTCAAGCTGATAACATAGAAGTTATTTATTAGCAACCCTTGGGGGTGGAATTTTTTCTAGTATAAACTATAAAATATAGAAGTATAAACTATTTAAGAAAAAAAGAATATTTGAAATCGGTCCTTTATCTGCGAAGATATCTTGTCAAATTTCTTAAACAATAGTCCAATATGAAACTTTTTCCCCTATTTCCCACCCTTGGGGGCGGAATTTTTTCTATAAAATTTAATGGGACCACCCTTGAGGTAAAGCATATTTATAAAAAAAGAATTACTAAAATCGGTTTACAATCTGCGAAGATATCGCGTAACAAACATACATGAATTCGGTTCAAAAACTATCACTGAAATTTTATATGTAAAATAATAAGACCGAAGGTTATTGATCGAAGACCAAAGGTTAAAGAAGCGAGACATCTAGTTCTGCGATCGCTCATCCGCCTGCCAAGTGATCCGATTGCGGCAATTCTCTTCTACAATGTCCGATAAATAAGTAACCGACGTCTGGCGTAAACAAGATTGTTATACCCATTGATTTTTAGTGTTGTATAACTCAATGGTTATACCACCATAATATATCGGAAGCCATGAAATCAGTTTAATTTCTACCAATAATCCTACCTAGTAGATAATTTGACCTGACAAACTCATTATATTCCGTATACGATACAACGATAAGATTGAAGCAAAACCTGCAATATGCGAACATGAAGAATTAATTATTTGTTTTTCAACTTCCCGCTATGAAAATCAATGATTTTCAAAAAATCGGTAAGGTTTGATTTCACCCTAGTTTGCGAAAATCGAGGTTTCATCAGATCTCGACGTTTTGTGGTCCTAGGAAACTAATCCGACAATTCCTACGACGATATCACTATGTCTGTAGTATTTGAAACGGCTTGACCGATTTAAACACACTTAGTGGCGTTCGAAAAGGTTTCACCATACTTAGATTTTCAATTCTTTTTCAACCGATTTCGACCAGCAGATGTTGAGTAACCTTTAAAATGTTTTTTTTTTTTTTTTGAATAACTTTTAAACAATTGTAACGATCAATTCCAAAATCTAATCAGCTCTTAAATATAGAAAGCGACGTCGATTGCTGCGAACGGCTTCAAATTCGGTTATTGCGTTAAAGAGAAATCGATGACGAAAAATTTCGAGTGTTTTTTTGCAAAACTGTTTAGACTAACCTTTTTTTATAATAGATTTTATTATTGTTCTTAAAATATCTCGTCTATTGCCACCAACTATAACAAAATCGGTTGGCCCGTACGAAAGTTAAAAATTTTAGATTTTTAGGCAACGTTTTAGATTTTAGTTTGGTATGTTCTGAAAAAATTTTTACGTTATAACTTACAACCTTCATTTATTCTTTTTTTTATTTGAACTTTTAACATTTACATTTTATATACAATATTATCAAAATAATGACAGAAAAGTAAAAGGTTCGATACAAACATTTTTGATTTTAGACCATACCAGCTTTAACCAAATAAAACAATATTAAATATCACATTTATACGTGGTAGAGCCACGCTTTATGGTTGTAGCACGAAAGGTTCGGCTCGACCGGGGAAGGTCCACACTCTCACAGAATACCAGCGTAAAATAGCAGCTTGATGCTGCTGTGTTCTTCATGTCGAGTATGGAGAAACCGAGACTCGTTTTACTGGAATCGAGGCATTCCATCTTAGTCCTCAGGGGAGACAACGCATCAGTATTTTGATTCTTCATCGAGGTTAAATGTAGATGTCTATGGGCCACAGCATCCACTTACCATCAGGTGGACTGTGTGCTCGTTCGTCACCCTAATTCTATAAAAATATCATTCATGAAAACTTGAACGATACAAAAATATGTACCTACCTTGAGAAATGTTGAACAATTAGTTCAGTTCAATTCGTTCAGAATAATTTATTATCGTAATAACGTCATAAATGAGGTATGTCAGAAGTTTGCGAATGTAAAATACGACGGGGAAATCACGTAATTTTAGGTTTAAACAACAAAAAGTTTTAAGCATATTGTTAATTTCTTAACACTTACTATATAACTGAAACAGTGAAGAATCTTTCAAGGAAACACAATACATATAAGTGTTTTAAAAAATTAGTCCAGTTTTACGTAAAACTTTACTATTGTATTTTTTAAACGCGCACAGCAATAGCAAAGTCTGCCGGGTCACTGCTGAGTTATCGAATTGTTCACAAAGTAAGTTACACAAATGTCTAGATCGCACACGGATAGTCCTAGTTGAAATTTTTTAGTTTTAGTGCAAAAAAGGGAAAAGAGTAGTAGGCGCTAAAGTTGTTCTAGTCGCTTTCAATCACTGCGGGATCAGAATACATAGAAAGCTATGAACTTGAGAAGAAGATATTGTGCACTATACAACTCTTTTACCACACAAGCCGTTAAACTATGGAATAATTTACTGAAAAACGTACGTACCATTTTTTCAGTAGGTACATTTTTGCCCTATTTACACTCAGCCACTGCCACTGCTCCTGCCGCTGTCGGTACCATTGATTTATATAACACTAGATCAGTAATAACCGCGCCAAAGCGTTGCCACTGCACATTTGGCCACAGCCATATGCCTAGCTAACGTGAGTTCATTGTTCAATGTGACGCCGATAGAGTTGAGCCGCGACAAAAATGGGTAAATGCGTAGTGAAAGAATGCTATTCAAGGTCACAAAAATGTAATAAATCAAGCGGAATTACTTTCAACACATAATTTTTAGTTCTTGTTTTCATATAAACGTAAAAAACCTCAAATAATTAAATAAAATTATCGAATATTGCCATTTAGGTTCAATGTTGCCACTTTTCCGCATTTGTGATTATACTACATTAATGGTAGACACTATAATTAATGGAGTAAGTTAATTTGTTACCTCTGATTTTAAATATTTTGGAAATTATAATAAGAACTACGTTTTAACTTTCATACAAAATAATTAATTATTCTTATTTTAGTTTATTCATGAATTATCTATTAAATATATTTTATTACCTATTTTATATTAATAAATTAATATTATTTATAATTTCATATAAATTTTATATTAAGTAATTATATTTTATTACCTATTTTATATTGTTTGATTTATTAGTACCATAAAAATACGTTTTATTTCATCATTATGTTTACTTACATTCATCTGATAAGCTTTGTATCCTTTTTTCTAAGGGGACGTAATAAAGATTTTGAAATAAAATATATTTTTTAATATAAAAACAATTAACTGCAGCTTAAAAAAACTCATTTTTATTGCGTATTTTAGGTAAAATTTCATATAGTAAGCCACACCAACCCGCCATTGCATGTTTGTGTGTCTATCTTTATCTAATCTTAGCGATGATATTGTTTTCGCAATTTGTGTAAGTGAGATAGATATATGTTTACTTAAAATTGTTATTAGTTTCAAAGCTACGTCGTCGCGTTTGGATAGTGGTTACACTTTTTTCGACTCGCGGTAATGTGGTTTGCTCCTCTAGTGTTGTATAACTCATTGGTCGGAACACTCACCCACGTTGTTGTTGCAACGACAGGAGCAGTAGCAGTGGTTAAGTGTAAATGGGCATTACAGTTGGGAAACGAACTTATACAGAGCAACAGTGGGGGAACTACGAGGCAGGGGGCGGGCCGACCTTGTAGACAATACATGGCGGTTGGCGCAAGCGTTTCTTACTGTACTTATTTAACTAATTTTAAGTACCATTTTCGAAATATATAATATCTATAATGGTGAATTTTTGTTCTAGTTATAAAGTTACGATTGGAATGGAAATTAAATGACGGCCATGCTTATATTTCCCTCAATTTTTTTTGATAATATTGTTTATCCGAATCCGAATATACACTACATAATTAAATTTAACCATCGAAAACTGAAAACATCTATAAAAAAGATAGCGTCACGAAAATATTTGACAGTGCAGCACTTGTAAATGTGTTTTTTCTTGCAATAAAAAATGATCCTGTTCGTAAATGCTTTTAACTTATTGAACATAATGTTAATAAATGATAATAAACAATTTCGTGACAACCCCTAGCATACATGCTGGCTGCGTAAATAACGTTGGCGGCGGCATCGCCTGACATCAAAGGCGTTTCACAACTGTCGGTCTAAATTAAGCTACTATTATAGTAAGGCATTATTTAAACGCCTGCTTGTATAATTGCTCCATAGGACTGATATTTGTCATAATTCCCATACTTTGTAGGCGGGTTGTCAACTATTTTTTTTTATTTTCTAGTTGAAATTTGGGAAGACGGGACTGCGAAACTCTTGGTTTGTATCCTTCTATCGCCTCTTACGACATCCGACCGCGTAGTGGCGGTAGAAGAATATAATATTTAAACTATGTACCTATATTATACTATATTAATATGTATATATTTCTGTCCTTATATAAAGTGTGTAAGTATTGTGTTATATTTTCTACATCTAGAACTCAATTGTTATATCATTTAAAAAATTACACTTATCGACCTATTCGTATTTTCTGATCAACCTGGAGATAGACTGACAGAGAATTCATTGTGGCATTAAGGCCGCATTTTCGTAAGCGTTTGTGTGCCAATAAAGCATACAATATAAAATATTATGGTGCTAATTGTGTACACAATTACACGACTATCGAGTGGTTTATTGATCAAAGCCGCGCTTTCCTAATGCGTGTTGGCGGAGTTCTCATGTCTTCCAAATATAGTAGGTTTACTCACGATGTTTGCCTTTCACGCTAAGCACGAGATAAATCAGCACTTAAAACTGCAATCAATAATTTCATTGATACTGGCGAGAATCGAGCCCGAGTTTCTCGCGTACTGTGAAATTTACAGCGATCTATTACTTACAGAGCTATCAACTTAAATTATACCTTTACATACTGTGATCATACGATGATGTATTAATTAATTAAAATTTAAAAACTACCCAAATGTACAAATAAAGTGTTTTTTCTCCAACCTTTTTAATTCTAGCATACTTCCGATGTTATCACATGAGTAAGATCGATATGTATATGAGAAGTTTATATAGACGATTAAATGCTTTTGGGTAGTTGGAAACGTACACAAACCTTAACTTATTGATCATATTTTATAAATTTTTTATCATTATTATAAACGACTTACCGGAGGTGATCAAAGAATCAACGTGACTTTTATCTAAAATTAGATATCGAAATTAGAGACACCTTAGATCATGCTAGACTGCAGCGGGATATAAATGAGGTCATGAAGTGGAGCCGGGACAATAAACTTTTTTTTAATGTGGGTAAATGCTATACATTGTCATTTAGACGAGCGAGTATTCCGCGTCATCACCCGTACCACAGGAAAGGAGAGCAGCTGTCCGTACCCGTCATGTATGTGGAAGATCTGGGTGTTCAATTCATAAGTGATTTAAAGTTTCGAAAACATATTACTGAAGTTTACAGAAGGGCATACCGCAATATCGGTTGTATCCTGAGACAAGCGAACGGTTTTATTTACTAACATTAACGCAATAAAAAGCCTTGTATCAAGCGATGATAAGTCATATGGAGTGTAACTCGGTGATTTATGATCCAAACGAAGAAAAATATAAGTCAAAGTATTCAAAACAAGTTTGCTAGATTTTTATATTTTAAATTATACGACGTATATCGGGGTTATTCGTTACTGTATCTTACTCCGCTTGTTCTCGGTATGGTAGGATATAGTAAACTGGAAATAAAAACGACGGGGTGCACTCCGGGAGTGCCGGCAGAAGTGAAAACTTGAATATTAACGTTGTGCATTTTTGATATTTTGGAATGGTTAGGGAATAATTTTGCACGAATTGCTTTAATTATCAGTATAAAAGTACTATCATTTATGTGGTAGAATACAATATTTATTTATTGCGCTATCGTACACAAACATAACAATTTACATTACATTAATAAAATTATCTTTTCCTACGCCGCGCCGGCTGTCTACTCTCTACGAATTTTCGATCAGGGTCACGCGTCCTGAAGCGAGTTTAACATTTTTTACCCATTACAAAAAAGTGTACAACGCCGCTAAAGAAGTTTTCACTTCAAAAAGGGAAGTATCGCTGGCCACATACTTGTTTAAAGTGTTTAAGATAAAGTTGTATGGGCCAGATCGAAGTACAGAGCGGCGGCTACGAATGCGACTGCTGGAACTGCCGCGCGCGAGAACTACTCGTAACTTATTACTCGAGGCACCGCTCAACCTAGCGCTACATGTTCTCAATGCAGTGGCTAAGCGGATTGAATTATTCAGATGTCCTCTGAACGAGCTCACAAAAGCTACATTGTTATTTCTATGGTTTAATTTATTGACTTATGGTGTATTATACAACTGGTTTGTCTTATCTAACGTATTAAGGCAATCCTGTAATGATAGTAGTAAGTGGATATAATAGATAAACAAATAAACTTTTACTTACAGCAAGATGGTCACCCTAACCCTACCCGTCGATAGTCTTATCGTTGCTAGTATCAAAGTTGTTGTTGAGAGTCATATATTTTGTAATATCCGATTAGCGATTGACATATGTTTTGTAATCCCTGACTGATCGATTTAAAATTGTATGTAAAATTTCAAAGGAGGCCTCTTAAAGCAACGTAACATGTAATTATTATTTAACTGGGAAATTTTATAACACTCGCCGTTTCTCGACGACAGATTTTCATCTATATTGCCTGGTCTCAGTCGATGCCCCTCTTGGCTCCTCGACCATTGTCTGATCAGGAGTACGATGCCACTCACGCTCCCATCGCGGTTGCGTTCTGCAAGTTGCCGCCGTGTTTGGCACTATAGGTCAGCCGATTGGGACGGAATACGATCTTTTTTGCATCCTAGCCTTGGTGGCGGGTTTGCTTCTCGCCGGATCATCCCAGCGATGTTGCTGATTCTGTAGCTGATGTGGTGCTACAGGGAATGGAACTTTTTATTCCATCATCTGAGGCAGAACCCAGCCATGGTTTGGTCGCTCCTGCAAAATTGCATTACGCAATAAGCAAAAGTGCTAAAAGGCCTGGGCTCACGCGTCGA